TTCTTTGACCTCTTTGGAGGGCTCTATGCCCAGCAGCAGTGGAATCTTTTGGGAGTTAGAAGGTATGAACAGTTTTAGTGATTTTTTTTTTCTTGAATAATTCCAAATTGTTTTCTAGAATGGTTGGGCCAGTTCTCAGCTCTACCCACAGTGTATCAGTGTGCCTGTCTTCCCACAGCTCTTCCAGCTTTGAGTATTTCTGCCTTTCGCTATCTTTGTTAATTTGCTGAATGTGAGGTGAAACCTCATAGTTGTTTTACTTTGCTTGAGTTTGTTTCTTTTTGAAAACTATCCTTTGACTACTTATCTATTGAGGAATGGCTCTTAGTCTTATATCTGTTCGCGGGTTTTTTGTTGTCACTTTAATTGGAACAATCTGTGCACTTAGACTGGGATGATGGGTTGTATTTAAATTGAGAGATCCATTTGGGCAATAGAGCCTAAACCCTCTTCCCCATCCCCCAGTTCACAGATTCTACTTTCCACTGCCTCCCAGAACTGGTGAGTGCCCCCCCACCCCCCATCTCTACTTGATTCCTCACTGAACTATTGATAATCTGTAAACTGTCTTAACCTTCATCTTCCTGCAGAGTGACTTCAATTGCAGATCGACTGAATGTTGACTTTGCTCTGATTCACAAAGAGCGGAAGAAGGCCAATGAAGTCGACCGAATGGTGCTAGTGGGAGATGTCAAGGACCGAGTAGCCATTCTAGTGGATGACATGGCTGATACTTGTGGTACTATCTGTCATGCAGCAGATAAGTGAGTAGGTGGTGCGGGGAAGGGGTGTGTGTGTGTGTATGTGTGTGTGTGTGAAGGGGGGCAGTGACTGGGTATAATCTATTGATCAGAATAATCTGTTTTAAAACCCACATGTTCTCCTACCCTGAAAGCGACTACTTAAGGGAATAAATGTGACCTTTCAAGGTCCCAGGTCCAGAGCACTTAGTGATCCATTGAACATACAATTGCTTCAAACAGTTTTGTGGTTTGTAGTAGTAATGGGAATTTAACCTGGCAGAGTTCTGTCTAGTACATCAAGAATGGCAGTCTGATGGCTATTATGAATTACAGTAGCAGAGAGTATAGCCATGTGCTCTGTCAGGATCACTCTTCATTTCAAGAGCTTCTATTATTTAGTTGTAAAGTTGATTTGGTTTTGTCCCTCATTAACCTGACAAATGAATTTTCTCCATACCTTTTCTTCTGCCCACCCTTCTCCTCATCTTGCAATTAGGTCCATTTGGTTACTGTCTCCATATCTTTTTCTAGACTTCTGTCAGCTGGAGCCACCAAAGTTTATGCCATCCTTACTCATGGAATTTTTTCTGGTCCAGCTATTTCTCGAATTAACCATGCCTGCTTCGAGGCAGTTGTTGTCACAAACACAATACCTCAGGAAGACAAGATGAAACATTGCCCCAAGATACAGGTAAGATGGGATTTCGTCACAGAGATCTTGAAGGGGCTGTTTGCCCACCACACAGAGTGGGCCCTGAGCAGGCCTGACTTTTCAAGGAAGGCCTTATGACAAACCACTGTTGCCACAGCCAGTTTAAGTGGATACTGTCCTTGCCTGGGGCCAACCTCTCCTTTCCTCTCTTCTCCGCTTCAGGTGATTGACATCTCTATGATCCTGGCTGAGGCCATCCGGAGAACTCACAATGGCGAGTCGGTCTCTTACCTATTCAGTCACGTTCCTTTATAATTGTTGCTGCTTTTCACTTTGGAGGCTTTTCTTTGCTAAGCCAGTAATTATTTGGTATATTACAAAAGTTCAGTAGAAATCTCTGCTTGTTTGTCCTGCTCTCCATATTTTTTGCTCACATCCAGTTTCCTGGGGCTCCACTTTCTTTTTGTTAGTCTTAAGTGGGCCTTTCAGCTTTCACTCTTAACTCTGTGGGGAGTGGGCTGATGCATCCACCATAGAAGTCCAGGTGGGAGGGGGAGGGAGGCAGGGGGAGGGGACGGGGCAGATGCATCACTATGCATGCAAACTTCAGCAGTTCTGGTTGGTTGGTTTGTTTAAAAATAAAAATCTGCAAAGCCTAAATAAAAATTAAACTCTGCTAGTGTCAGGCCATAGCAAGAGCCCCAGCCTACCCCAGCCATGGCATTCCTGGCTACCAAGTCAGCATTTCTCAAGCACCTGCTATATGTCGGGCTTTGCATTAGGAACAAGGAGAAGATAAAAGACTGGCCCTGCCCTCAAGGAGCTCACAAGGCTCACAACACTTGGACAGCATTGAGACAGAAGCTGAAAGGGGGTGGGGAAGGCCAAGGGGTAGCCAGCCATTTGGGAAAGGGTGACATGAGTACACTATAAGGTTATGGAGTTGTTGAGAGGTTAGTTTGGGGCCAGCAAAACTGAGAGGCTACAGAGTTGAGGAGTAAAAATGGGCCACTAGTGGGGGAGGGGAGTTCTCTTATAGTTGGCATTCCTTGGAATCAGTGATGACTAGAGCCACTTCATCCTTGTGGCTTTTCCCTTTGGCCAGATCTTATGCTTCTAAACCACCAACACTTATAGATTGAAGTTTCTCCTTGAGGCAGAAAATACTGGCCTTAGTTACGTTCAGAACCATTTCCACCTTTCCACAGAAATTTCCTCATTCACATCTGTGAGGCTCTAATTATGAGCAGGGTGCATTTTTAATCCCTCCTTTAGAGTAGTTGATCCTGTTCATTAGTATATTTTGCTGTTTCTTTACCTCTCTTACTGTTCCCAAATCTCAGTGAATTATGGAAGGAGAGGAAAATTTAGGCCTCAAGTGGAATATGAGAAGATGAGTTGCTCTTTCCTCTGTAGGTAAATACTCCTCTTTCTCCATGAGTGGCACCACCATGACTTGGGCTGTGGAGGAAGGGAAAATGTCACCAAAAATGTCATCACTTTTGATTCCAAGGTTGAATGTCCAACTGGCAATAGGCATTAACTATGATAACATGGGAAGAAGATGACCCTTCTGTAGGAGGCTGTAACCTTTCATGACTTGGTGTGCTCAGAGACTGAATGGGGTTTTCTCAGGAATGAACATTGAAAGAATTATGACTGACGGATGGTGGATGTCAGGGTTTATCAGATTTTGTGAGCTTTTAGGCCTTGGAGCCTTTGTTGAATTAAATGAACTTCATTTGCATTTTCTTGGGTCTTCTTGGGTGCTGGTAAACAGATGCTCCTATTAAAGGGGAGATTTATAGAAAGAATTGTAGAACGAGCTAGTCTGCAGCGAGTGCTGATGCTGGCATTTATCTCTAGCAGAAGGTTTGAGCAGATTCCTTGCTGCTCCAGCTGTAGCTGCCTGGTGCTTTGCTGCTGAGCTGTTAGCCAGCATCGAACCAAAGTGACTGATGTTGGCGTTCCTATTCAACCATAAGACTTCAATGAAGGAATTAAACTTACTTTGAAAGCACTTTCGGTTTATTGTTTTTGCATGTGTGTTATTCAGTCATTCAGTCGTGTCTAACTCTTCAGGACCCCCCCTGGACCATAGCATGCCAATACTGTTCATGGGGTTTTCTTGGCAAGGATACCAGAGTAGTTTGCCATTTCCTTCTCCAGTGTCTGCTTGTGTGTACATATGTTCAGTCGGTCCCTGGCCCTGAATTTCCACAGGCTCTGCCAGGGGAAAGGAAAATCTGTCAAGTCTTCCTAAATCCAAAAGGTCAGGAACAAGACCAGGCCTTGAGAATGCTGAGATCTGTCCCCTGCAGACCAGCCAAGTTAGCCAAGCTGAGTACTAGAAGCATGGCTCACTTTGCTTCTCCTAAGGCAAGGAGAGGAGCTGAGGTGCAAACCTGGAAGGATCTACCCACACAGAAATCAGGTTTTTTGGAGTGTGTGTATGTAGTCCTCAAGACACTGGACTCGACATGCTTTTGAACAGTCATTCCCTATTTCTTGGTCCTGGGACAAATGGTGGTGGGGAGATCCGTCTTGGGAGGGAGAGTTTCACTATCCCTTCACCATCAGTAATGACTGTGTAGAAAGAATACAAACTCGATTTTAATGGCAGCCCATTCAGGAATAAATTCCAAATGGAATACAAAAGGTTTGATTGGTTATTGAGGCCACAGATAAGACTGATTTGAATATGAAACCTGTCTAAACACAAACCAACTTTCATAAACAATGTTTCTGTCCCTTATCTATTTGTACAGCTGTACCTTGCTCTCCTTAATTGCACAAAAAGGGCTTGGCATACACAAGACTATATTCTTTCTATTTAATGCTTTCTCTTTTACATCCCTGCCCCTTCCCAGTGATCTCCTTTACCCCCCCCCCCATGTAGAGCCCTTCCTGATACCAAGTAAATGTAGTCCAGCAAAACAAACCACCACATCAGCCCTGTCGGCCTCATTCCACACCCTCTACAAAAATTCAAAAAGCAAAATTAATACAATTACGTAGTTTGATTTAAAGGCAGTATAATGGAATTTGGGGCTATAAGCAGTCCCCCAGGTTCAGCACCCTATTTCTGGGAATGTAAGGGAAGGGTGCGTGGAACTGATAAGACCCCCCCCCCAGCTTGGGGGGCTTCTTCAGTCCCTCCCATTCTCTGTTTCTGAAGCTCCCTAGAGTAATTTTACTTCCCAATTTTGACATGGGGGAGACACTGATCTCAAAGAGAGGTGGATAGCAGTGTCCAAGCTCTTGGGGGTTCTGGTAGCTTTTCTTTATTTAGGGGCTCCTGACAAGTGTGAAAAAAATGATCTTGATATAGAGCCAGCCACTCCCAGACTGTTTGGGTGGCCCATTTCCTTTCTATGGCATTTAGGCCAGGCAAAGGCCACCTCTAACCCTCCCACCATTCTCAGAATTTGGGCCTTGGTACAGGAACTTAAGAGGCAGGGGTTGAGAACAGAATTGCTTTTTATAGAAGCAAATAGCTAGGGAAAAAACCATGCCCAGTACCCAGGCCTCCCTGGGCTAGCCACTAGAACAGAGGTGGGGAACCTGCAGCCTCCAGGCCACATGTGGCCCTCTAGGTCCTCAAGTGGGCCCTTTGAGTCCAAGTTTTACAGAACAAATCCTTTTATTAAGGGGATTTGTTCTGTGAAGTTTGGACTCAAAGGCCTCAGGTTCCCCACCCTTTCTCATTCCCTCAAAAGTGAAGGCTGGGGTTTTTGGAATAGCCAAGATCAATCAATCCTGTTGCTTAGCTGAATTATTCAGTATAAGGAACCCTTTAGTTTAATAGGTGAGCTTATTAATGGGAGGAGCCTGGGCAGAACCAGGAAGAGACTGAGGCTGAGTATGGTGAGATGGGTTAATGAAGGGGAATCCTGGCTCAGTCCCTTCTCTGGTACATGACTGGGCAAATCACTTAACCTCTAAGTGCCCCAGGAAACCAAGTCTGTAAGTAACAGAGCCAAGTGACAGTGCTATTGGTGCAGACTTTCCCTACAGGCAGATCCTTGCAAACCAGTGACTTTACAAATCTAGTCTAAAACAAAAAGGCCAAGTGGGAAACCAACAGTATGTGGAGGAGAACTCTTTAGAGTTTTAAAAAAAAAAAAAAGGATCATTGCCCCTTGTTTGGGGAAGTTCTGCATGAGAACCAGGGCCCTGTTATTCAAAGATTGTTTCGTGGTAATTGGGGTGCCATGTGTTATTTGGGGGCAGAGGAAATAGTCGTGTTTGCCTACCACATTTACTTTTGTAATGCAGTGTGCATCAAAAAATGTTAGTCTGAGGCTACCAAGACTATCAGATACTCCTTGGTGCAATGAATCTAACAAATCCCTTGCCAGTTAAATTATCATAGCTTCATAGATTTAGAGCTTAAAGGTCATTGAGTATAACCTCATTTTACAGATAATCTTGTTGAGTCGTTTTTTAGTCATATACAACTCTTTATGACCCCATTTAGGGTTTTTTTGGCAGAGTGGGTGTCGGGGAGCACTGGCACCTCTGAGGACTGCTGAGCTCTTTTCAGGGCTGCTTCATCCACCTTTGGTGTGTTCACCTGTCACCCACTGTGACTCCAGGAAGCTGTAGCTTCCTGCACATGCAGTAGCCACACCCTAATAAACTGTTTTGGCTAAACCTGGTTGAGGGTAGGTAACCAACAGACCTCAAACTGGTTGGTGAGTTAGGGGCCGTGTCTACCCCAAGCATGTGAAGACTTCCCTAGCAGAATGGGCAAATGGGAACAATTTAATAATCCAATGGCCGTGAAGGTGGTGTGGTGAGCCTTTGGAGCTTGGTGAGACATGGAAGATGCCAAGGTCATCCACTACATCCTGGGCCATTGCCATCAGCTTGACTTTTGTCCTGCCACTGAATTCCACGGATGACTTTGGAAGAGAATGTGAGGCTGATGACTCTGCCTCGCTTAAATCCAATTCATGCACAAGTCAATAGATCACCCTGTGATGTCATTAGTCCCTTTCAAAAACAAGGACAAGCAACTTTGCAGATGGGGAAAATGAGGCCCAGACACATAAAGCAACTTGCGTATGGTCACACATAGGCTCACAGATTTGGAGCTGGAAGGGACCTTAAAGGTTACCAAGTCTAAGGTCACTTCTAGCTCAAAATCCGTAATCCCAAGTGACAGAGTGGAGAGCTCAGACTGGACACTGCCTTCAGGCCCAAATAGGACAGCCAAATCCATCGAGATGGTAAATGTTTATTTGGAAAGTAAAAGTAATAGGCCCTACAGGTTAAGCCAGAAAAGTCCTTGCAGCTAGTTTGTAGCATTCATCAATGACAGGGCTTCTGTAACAACCACCACAGTCGCGAGCCCCAAGGTCTGGGCGCTCTCTGTGTCTCCGCATCCTTTTGCTTGTTTCGTCTCAGGGAATCTACTTTTGTTGCCCTTGGAGAGTTTGTCGGACCCATTGCAAGAAGCGGTGAAAACTAAGGTGACGTGAAAGTGAGAATGGATCACCAGAGGATGCCGATTGGGTTCTGGTGGGACAAGATTCCTTTTTGGAATCCTTAAGATCGTCTTTTTTGTCTTGAAACTTGAGCTGCAAGTGGGAGAAAGGAAGGTTAGGGGCAGGAGATGATGGGGAAAGGACCATGAGAAAGTAGTCACCTAAGGCGAGCCATAAAATAATAATTTCCAACCCAAGCACACTGCCCTTGTGGGGAGACTGTCGGCTCTGGCTTGGCCTCACCTCACAGCTCTGCAATGAGAGCACCAAAGAACTTTCTGCCCTGTTTCTCAAATTCTAGGATCCCTCATGCAGGCCCTATGCTTTTTCCAAGTGCCCCATGCCCTCTATGTGATTCATGTCTTCCACGTGCCACATTCCATACAGGTGCTCCCCAAACCCCATGCATGCTGCACACTGCATGTTCCTTGCATGTGCTCCATACCTTCCACACGCCAAACCCCATGTGTGTTCCACGCCATGTGTGTGCCTCACTCTATATGTGGTTCATACACTTTAGGTGGCCCAGGCCATGTAGGTGCCCCACACTCACAACTTCCAGATGCCCCAACCACAAGTCTCACATCATCCAAGTGCCCTACACCTTATATGTATCCCATACCATATATGTGTTCAAAACTCTAAATGCCCCATGCCCCACAAAGAGCCCCACACCCTGTGTGTGCCACATATGCTCCAGGTGCCCCATGCCACACAACCCTACATCCTATGTGTGCCCCACATCATCTAGATACCCCATGCTACAGAACACTACACCCTCTGTGTGCCCCACATGCTCGCGATGCCCCATGCCACACAAAGAACCCTACATCCTATGTGTGCCCGGTGTCCTCCAGATGCCCTATGCCACACAGGTGTCCCACACCCTGTATGTTCCCTACGTCCTCTAAGATATCTGCCCCATGCCACACAAGAACCCTACACCCTATGTGTGCCCCACATCCTCCAGATGCCCCATGCCACACAAGAACCCTACACCCTATGTGTGCCCCACATCCTCCAGATGCCCCATGCCACACAAGAACCCTATACCCTATGTGTGCCCCACATCCTCCAGATGCCCCATGCCACACAAGAACCCTATACCCCATGTGTGCCCCACATCCTCTAGATGCCCCATGCCACACAGGTGTCCCATAACGTGTGTGCCACACATACCCCTGATGCCATATGCCACACAAGAACCCTACATCTTATGTGTGCCCCACGTCCTCCAGATGCCTCATGCCATACAAGGACCCTACACCCTATATGTGCCCCATTCCTTCCAGGTGCCCCATGCCATGCAAATTTCCCAAATCCTATGTGCCCTACATGCTCCAGGTGCCTCTTGCCACAGTGGTCCCCTGCATTCTCTATGTGCCCTATGTACTCCATATGACTCTTTTCCGGGAAAGTGCCCCTTAGCCTCTATGTTCCCCATGTCCTCCATGTTCCCCATGTCCTCCAGGTACTGCTTGCCACACAAGTACCACACATCCTCTCTGTGCCCCACATACTTCAGGTG